TCCAAGGGGCTTGGTAACCAGGCAGACGTTGAACTTGACATGATAAATGCAATATCTGCAGCAGATATTGCATTTATCATGTCAAGTTCACAAGCTATTGGGAATTGATTGAATGCTCTCGACCAATCAGATTTTTCATAGTGAGTCTGATGTATAATAAAATTAGTTATCTGTAATAACACCAAAGACTATTTCCCGTGGGAAACCGAGAAAATAAATGTCAAATTTCACAAGAATTGTGAAAACATAGCAAAAATTTTGAAAATTTCATGTGCAAGATGTCATTTTGTGAAATTTGGCATTTATTTTCTGGGCTCCTATAAGAAATTTTCTTTGGTGTTATTACAGATAGCTAATTACATCTTTAGCCCTTCAAAAATATAATAAAAGAATGCAATATGCTTTAAATCATTACAAGGTCTTTGTCCACTAAAATTTAAAGCTACTCAGTTTCCTGGTGGGTTACGTCTTAAAGAGTTGCCATTTCAGTTGGTTCCCTCTATAATTTTAAATGTTATGGATGCATTTGCATGGTTTGAGCTAATCACTAAAGAAGCCATTTTTTGATAGTTTCTCTCATCTACCCTCCAAACAACTCGTACGCTTCTTTGGTGCTAAGCAGCCTGCCAAGCGCATATGCCTAGCAATTACTATGGATTCCACGATGTGGCGCGTCTCTTTACAATGTTTCACGGGTGACTTCAATGTGTTGTTAAATGGAGGTACCTGATCAACGTGTTAAAAACATCCTCTTAATCAATAAAAAAAGTGACCATAATCGTGAGGCAAATGATTAACGCGAGCGTATCAGTGCAATATCTCTGTACAAAAATTAAAGTTGAAAAGATTACGAGGTTTGTCGGTTCTGTGCTGGTTATTGTTTTATAGTTGTTCCTATGCCTGATTTTTTGTTCATTTTTTGTTCTAGTCCTGTTTTATTTTTGCGTTATTAGTGAAACCAAAAGAATGGTGCGATTCTCATAAAAACTGCATATCGACAAAAAAGTAAACAGTCAAGTTTAAGTGGTCTTTTCTCGTTTATCTAAGGCTACAGTGCAAGTGGATAATCGTGAACCAGAACAAATTTCCATGAGACAAATGACTTCAGAGGTTTCGTCTGGACATTATATGCCACTGGTTAAGGCACACCAATCATCTGGCTCACCAGAAGTCATTCCGTCAATTGACGCTTCATCATTAAGCCAGTATGAACCTTGAAACCCGTCATCGATTTCTTACGAGATTCTTCGCCAGAACGTGATTATTGAGAAGATAATTGGCAAAGGTGCTTTTGGTCAGGTTGCCAGGGGAAAGGTTAAAGGCCTACTTCAAAGACAACATGTCACACAGGTGGCTGTCAAAATGTTAAAAGGTACAACAAAACTTGATTGATCACTGTGTGACTGATAATGTAAGAATAGGTTAACTGAAAAATAAAGGAAAGTAACAGAAACGATTGACAATGAAAACGCCCGTACCTCACCTTTCAGCTGACGCGCCGGACTCCGACAGGAAGGATTTGTTATCAGAGCTTGAAGTGATGAAGGCGTTGAAGCCTCATCCACACGTCATTAAACTACTGGGATGCGTCACCGAATCTGGTAGGCTATGTTTAAAGTAAGCTGTCTTTTGAAACCAACTATTATGCTGCAAGTAAAGAGTCACTCTAGTCATTTTAATTTTGCCCTTTTCAGGCTGTGTCAAGTCTCTTTGCCTGTGAATGACTAAATGAATACGTCGTTTTCTCTTCAGAGCCCTTGTTAGTCTTGATCGAGTACGTTCCGTACGGGGATCTTCTGGGTTACTTGAGAAAGAGCCGTGGATTAAATGACACTTATTTCAAAGACCCAGATATCAAACCACAAACAAGTCTGACGTCACAGCAGTTGATGAAGTTTTCTTGGCAAGTTGCTGATGGAATGAGTTATCTTTCATCGAGATCTGTAAGCTAAAATGCAGACTGTCTTCATTTTGCAAACAAAAATTATACTGTGAAGAATGTACTCAGGTCCCCTCACTTTCAGCCACTTTTTGCTTTTGCGTTTTGATAAACCCCCTCTACAATGGCGATTTCATAAAATGTATGTCCGGCTGGACTGGTATGAATAGGCCATTTGCACTAAGAGGCATGTGACGTCGTTTTTATGAAAATGAAAGTTACATGATTTTGCCTTCGAAAAACGAAAACCCGCACCATTTTCTAAAAATGAATAAGTTCGTAAATGGTCACGTGACCAAAATGTGATTTTTAAAATTATGAATTACCTCTCTCTGAACACAAATTTTGCACTTAAACTTCAAGG